GCTTTAGTGCTGTTGTTTATTTAAACTTGACTATGAACTTATACAAAATGCAGCAAGATATTAAAAAACAGTTTTATTGATTAAAAAACACACTATATCGGATTCATATCGGTATCGGCAGATATCCAAATTCATGATATCGGTATCGGTATCGGACATAAAAAAGTGGTATCATGCCATCTCTACTTTAGATTAAACATAGAAAGGATTTACAATGAGCTCAGTGTTAAACATTTGCAGCACTAATCCTCATCCATATAAAATTGTTGGGGAACATTTTCTGCAGAATAAACACTTTTGAAAATTGTGGGAAAGCATATAAACATGCATATAGAAAGGTTTGATGCTTTACATGAAATAAGGAATTGTTACTGTCCTTACCACTTCTTTTTTTCACACACACTAGAGCCATTCCCAGTGAGATGACGCCCACGACTACACCAAAACCAGTTGCAATTACAGGTAGAAGTTTAAAAGGTACTAGAAAAAACACAGCCCACAGGCAAGACTCAGTCTCACTTCCCATTTTTGTTAAGCAAAGTATCCTGAATGTCATACAGGAAATAAATACTGAAATTCAAAAGCAAGATGCTTTTAGTATGACTAATAATATAGTTTAAGGAAATTTCATTTACCTGAAGATATCCTTCGTGTAGTGACAGAAGAAGTAGTCCTTTTAGTGCTGAGCTTTGTAGAAGTAAAGTCTACTGAAATGAACAAATATCACCAAATGTCAAAACACTCCACAGCAATTGACCTACGCATTTTTATTAACTTGTAATAGTCTTACCAATAGTTGTGTCCCTTGTGACTGTGTCACTTGTGAAGTTCATAGCAGTAGGAGGAGCAGAGGTCAAAGTGTTTTTTTCAGCTGCAATAACATAAGATGGTGTTGTGATTGTTTCATTATTTGAGTTTCTTGTGGATTCACCTCAGAAGGCATTTTCCTTTCACTACTGCAATACTGACACACAACTGCAAAGTGTCAATGTTTTACACTTAAAATTTAACTTATAAATTCAAAAGAATATTGTTTTGCTGTCATCTGATATCAGTGCATAATACTGAATGCAGTATACAAATGCAAATACATCTATCATTACTGAGTATTCTTCTCCCTGGATGGACTTAAATCAATTCAACAAATACACATTTTTTTAAGAATGAAATTATGTATGTCCTCCTAATACCTGTTACATTTAAAGGTAATTAAAGACTTAGAAACATCTGTTTATGTGTCTTCTTTGTTTTGAAAAAAAAACCCCAAAAACTGAAGACCTATGCACATCTTATAATGAGGTATGATATAGACCAGCACAGTATGATTACTTACTTTGTATACTGATGAAATATATGTTGCTGTGAGGAGACTGGTATTGTTCTCCTTTATGTTGTGTCATGTAAAAACATGTGACTTCAACCTCAGCAGGTGAACTCTGCTGTATCAAAGAGAGGAGCTCAGTTCCTCTTAAACTCTGCAGACAGGAGATGGGTGTAGAGTTTCTTCTTCTTGTAAAGTACAAAAAACACTTAGTCGCAGAAAAAGATGATGGAGCCTGACAATTCAGTGCGACTGAGTCTGTTTCTGTGATCATCCGTGGATTCACTGTCAGTTCAGGTCGAGTAGCTAAAAACAAACATTTGTTAAATTACAAATGTTTCATATATTTGAAAATAAAATCTAACAATAGAAAATGTTCTGAGGGTTGTTTTTTTTTTTAAATTATCATGTCTGTTGCACATGATAATTTTTTCTCACACACCCACAAGTTGAGAACACCTTTGTTGTTTTGTACTAATATTGTAGTTTAACATTCACATATTAATACATTACTGCAGTATTTACAGTATTTACGTGATGATTGCTGTCATGTTACTCACTGGAAATTTGGTCCTAAATGCATTTAGACTTAAATCAATTCAACCAATTGACAATTTATTTAAGAATGAATTTATACATCCCTCCTAAGATTAGTTAATTCTAAATTAAATAAAGCTTTATTAACATCATTTTAGCTTCCTTCTTTGGAAAAACTGAAGAACTTATGTCCATCATATACTGAGGTATAATATAGACAGTTTAATCACTTACTTTGTATGTTGATTGAAGATGTGTTGCTGTGAGGAGACTGGTATTGTCTTCCTTTACGCTCTGTCATGTAAAAACATGTCACTTCAACCTCACCAGACGAGCTCTGCTCTGCCATAGAGAGGAGCTCAGTTCCATTAAGTCTCTGCTGACAGGAGATGGACGTAGATTTTTTTCCTCTCACAAAGTACAAAAAACACTGAGTCACAGAAACAGATGATGGAGTCTGACAGTTCACTGTGACTGAGTCTGTTTCTATGAGCGTCCGTGGATTCACTGTCAGTTCAGGCCGAGGAGCTAAAAAAAATAAACATTTCTCAAGTAAAATAAACAAATCTTTAATTTACTTGACAATAAAATCTGATAATAGAAACTGCTCCGGGAGTTTTACTATTTTAAATATTTATGTCGGCTTCACATGCAGATTTTGCTCACGCCTCGTACAACCCCCAAGCTGAGAGCAGATTTCTTTTTTTCTCTGTAGCCAAACATCCTCATATTATTGCACTACAGCAGTGTTTACTCACGTTGTATGGTGATTGCTGACATGTTACTTATTGGAGATTTATATGCTAAAAGGTAATAACAGGTCACTTCAACTGTAACAGGTGAACTTTCATGTGTCCATGACAGAAATTTAGATCCTGTCAGAGTCTGCAGACAAGGAGCTGTTTTATCAATTTTATATCCTGAAATGATGAAATAACACTCAGAGATAGGAAGAGGATTCTGACAGTTCAGCGTAACTGAGTCTGTCTCTGTGATCATCAGCGGGCTCACTGTCAGTTTAGGTGGACGAAGATCTGAAAAATTAAAGTTTATGTCAGCACTCAAAATGCTTTATACAACATGCCACATTCACCCAAGTACTTTCTTCTATGCTTTTAAAGGCTTTCTAACTAACATTTACAAACATTCATACTCCGAATGATGCATTGGAGAGAAACTTGGTGTTCATGTCGTGCCCAGAGATATTTGGCATGCAGACTGGAGGAGCCAGGGATCAAACCAACCTTCCAATCAGCAGATGACCCACTCTACCTCCTGAGCTACAGCCACCCCATCGTAGTCTAAGGAAGGAAAGTGTCTGAACTGCTTTAAGTTTCTTTAAGTCTTTCATCTTCTTTGAGTTTCTTGAAAACTTAAAGATGAAGGACTTAAAAGACTTAAAGAAATGTAAGAAGCCCAGATGCTTTCCTTCCAAGCTCCTTAGATTGTATGTTAGATTAATCAAATAGATTTAGCCCCATATTGTATATGTATATGTAATGGTAAAGTAAGCACTGAGATAATAATAGATTCAAAAAGTCTTAAACATAGTTGACTGAAACATATTGAAACATAATATAAACAGTGCATGTAGTTACACAAATAATATTCATGATGAGCAAAGCTGAGTAACTGTAGAGAAGCTCCAGAGACAAAAAAGAAAGTAAACATGAACCTGAGACTGACCTTGTGCCTTAATTTCATTAAAAGAATCTGAAGGAGGAAGGAAGAAAATAAAAAATTAATTTAACAATAAAAAGATGAAAAATTTAAACTAGTGTTAGACGTCTGAGGCAAACAAGAGAAACATGCTAACATGAACACCTACTAGAATGAACCTGATAAGAAGTGTAACTTACACATGAGAACGACTAGCAGCAGGAGATCAGCCATGATTAAAAGAACAATGTGAATGTTCAGAACAGACTACAACAGTCTGACTGACTGCTCTGACTCTTTTTTACATTAAATGTCATTAGGAGAAGTTGCTTTCAGAAAACCACAGTGTTCACAGTGTCACACAAGCTGGCCACAGTAAGACACACGTCACACAGACCTGCAGTGATACACTTTTCAAAACCTTCACCAATATAACTAGAGTGTATACAGCCAGCTACAGCGTTGGTACAGAATAGTTAAAGTGTTTGTTGGTCATTTGTGCTGCTTTTTTTTTTTTTTTTCTTAGAGGTGCTTAATCACTAGAATGACAGGACAAAAAATTATTAATGAACTTTTAAGATGCTGGTACATGGTCATTGAAACCTTCCACCTCGTGTCCTGACTGTAGTTATGTTTACTATAGAAACATAAGAATAAACCTTTAAAAATACTATAAATAAGCATTTTGCTGTTTTACCATTATGATGTACTCTATTAGGCATATTATGAATACGTTTTTACAATCAGTGTGATATAATCATTACATTTTTGTATTGTGACACTCATGTTAGACTCAGGCACGAAGTCTTCAGTCAGAACTGCAGCTCTCACAGCTCTGTGAACCTCAGCAAAGCTCTGGTGCGCTGATCTAAACATTTACAATGAAAGTAATATGCTGACAGTAATCAGATAGCAATGTCACTTCTGGCTGTCATTTTTGTTTGGGTATTCATTTAGTGATCACATATTGCACTGAAAATGTTGCATGTTAACGGCACTACAATAATAAAGTCTGTCATGCCTCACTTCATTCCTTAAAGTCATATTATGTCCATATTTTAAAATACTTGTCTCAGTTCTCATTTTAAAAAATTTCACTTCATGTCCTCAGAGAAGTTTCCCTTCATGACTTTACAGAGTCATATGAGCCCCAACAGGATGAGGATGTGGTGCATTAGTGGGTCAAACACAGAACACTAACCGAGACTAGAGTTTATATCCTGTGAGAAACTGAAGCTTTGCAACTTATAATTCTTTGACGCAGCTGATATTTATTTATCTATTTATTTTTGTTCACCGTTCATTAACAAGGGATCTGTGAGATTAGCATCCAGTTTGGAATATACATGTGTCAGACAGAATTAGTATAAAGACTCCAGCAGAAGCAACATTATCATGACCCTTGAATGTCTATGCCATGTTTGTATTTAGCAATCCAAAGCAAAGGCTTCAACACATAACGCGACCAACATGACAAACCGTTGACAATCAGGATGACTTATAAAGTAAGAAAGCTTTGACTGTGAGCAGAGCAGCTCCTTCTAACTGCTGTAAAAATGTCGTCATTTTGGAGGCAGCTACAGTTGTAGCCACAGCTGCCCTGGGGCAGACTGACAGAAGCGAGGCTGCCATATCGCACCATCGGCCCCTCTGGCCAACACCAGTAGGCAAGTAGGGTAAAGTGTCTTGCCCAAGGACACAACGACCAGGACAGAGAGCCCAGGGATCGAACCGGCGACCTTCCGGTTACAGATGCGTTTGTTTTTATGTTTTGCAATCTACAAAGGTTTGTACTTTGAGAATCAACTTGTGAGTCCTGTGAGTAATGTTCATGTGTGTGTGAAAAAAAAGTGTATAAAGTACGTGGCGAGGGGCTAGTTATTCTGAGAACCCCTGCTGCATGAGGGACCACTGTATATACTTTCTCTATGACTATTGTTTTCAACCTGTTAACATTTAATATTGTCTTGATAGAACCAACTGATTCTGCAGCAGAGCATCCCCTGTTGCTTCTCCTGGCTCCCCAGTCCCTGAGCTCCTGCTGCTGCACCCACAGGTGTGCAATTATAGCATCAGATGTACAGCAATCACTGATAGCTTTGTACTCAGTGGGATTCCCTTGTGATCACCTTTACTAAATATCTACAACCAATCTGATTATATCCTGTTTTGTTTTTTTCAATGTTGAAAATGAAAATCTAGTAGCAGCCTTCTCATGTCTTTGTGTTTTGTGCTGTGTTTTACAGGCCCACAGAGGAGGACGGCTCCGAGGCAGATGAGGGACGGGTCCCAGGACGGTCCATCGGCGGTGGAGCTGGCCATCCTGGTGTCCCTGAAGA